CGTGAAAGAGTAACAAACTTCCATCCATACTCGCAAACTTTCGCGTTTATAATAATAACTAACTACTCGTCCCGGCTTCGCCCGGGTGTACATGTATTTTTTTATACTATGTAGTTTATACTTTGTTTTATACTATGTAATGATGATTTTCAATATTTACATCGCATCTAAATGATTGTGTATTTTTGGTTCCAAACAAATTTGAGCTGACCAGTCTTAAAATCAAAATTATTTGTGCCTATCTTTTGCCCGCGGCTTCGCTCGCGTTAATTTATCCCGTTAGGGGTGGAATTTATCGAAATCCTTTCTTAGCGGATGCCTACGTCATAACATCTACCTGCATGCCAAATTTCAGGCCGATCCGTCCAGTGGTTTGGGCTGTGCGTTGATAGATCACTACGTCAGTCAGTCACCTTTGAGTTACATATATATAGATATTTTTAAATACATAGTTGAATGAGTTTTAATTCTTGGGAAAAACTTTAGAGGTACTAAAAAAAATTACAATAAAATGTTTTATATTATTTAAATGTTTTATACTATGTAATGATAATAAGATAATTATTATTACAATAGCCATGTGATGATATATAATCAAATTGCACTTATATATAGAATTACTCATATATAATAATCTTTGTTAATATTGACTTCTTAACAAGTACAATGACCTATTGATCCCATCTTATCTTGTCTGCCAAGTAATATTTTAATAACCAATTCATTGCAGTTGTTTTGTTGCAGAGTTCTGCTAAAAACTGGTTTCTTATACATTTTGTATATTTGAATTATGTTTTGTTAGAAATATAGCGTAGCGTAGCGGTTTTTGTATTGATTGCCGCATGCATTCTTATGTGAAATGTATATACTATAACCACAGGTAATATAATATTACATACTATAACCATCAGATGGCAATTGTGAGTAGCTATGACGTGGTCTTGTTTTGAGTAGTCATGCTCACTAAAATGTCCAGACTTGTGGCGGCGTGGTGGGCCGGGTCATTGGGCTCCTTAAAAGATGGTCGAGCGCAGTCGTGGCTGGCTCATCCGTCATACTCGTGAACGGGTGCTGCTTGTAGGGACTGGTCTGCTCTAATCACTATGACTGATTTCCTCTTATTAATTGTTTAACCAGTTGGTTATGTATTCAATATTTTTTTTCTTTTTGAGTATTTAATTGAATTAGTGCTAATCGGTGGTTTGTATTCACACACTTAAACTTAAATTGTAAGTAAGAATAAATTATTTAAAAGAGCAACACACAAGTTTCTTGCTTGTTCTTCTTGTGATGAGACAGCATTCCGAATGAGCGGTAGATTAAAAGAAAAATGTAATGACTATTCAAAAGTGCTTCAATGTAAGTTTATTTGAATAAATGATTTTCTATTCTATTCTATTTCGAGACGCATTAAGAATACTGAGACTTTAAAAACCCGTCTGCGAGGGTATTTCGTAGTACATATTAGAACAGAAAATCCTTTATTCAAATAAACTTAGTTTAAGCCCATTTGAATATCCATAACATTTAGTCATAACATCTCCCTTTGGAAATTCAAAAAAGTCCATCTAGTGGTTCTTTTAAGAGAAAGTTAAAATCATACTACCTTTCTACTGCTATGTGATTAGTGTCATCATTGTATATGTGGCGAATTAACTATTAACGCGCGGCAACAGCGTTGCCTAGTTACGACATAAGAATAGATCTTGTCTTTCGAGACCGAATCACTTTCTTTTATATATATTCATTGTAAATATTTCGTTATTATAAATATGTAAATAGACATCACTAGACTCATCATTTATAATAATACTAGCTGACCCGGCGAACTTTGTTCCGCCTTAATGGCAATAAATAAGCAGATTTTTTTTAATTGGAATAAATACAAAAAAATTAAATACCTACACTAATCATTCATAATTATTTCTGTATTTTAGTACATTGGTTGCTCTTCATTTAAGTACCTTGTGATACACGACATTTTTTGTTTTATTATCAGTCGCAAAAACAAACAACGCAGATGGTCTTCCGACCCGTGAACATGCCACGTATAATTGACCATGGAAAAAACATGAATGTTCTAGATTTAAACCACAAACTTTTAAGGATTGGTCTTGTGATTTGTTGATGGTCATGGCAAATGCAAGACGTATCGGAAATTGAAGTCTTTTAAATTCAAACGGCATATCGGTTGGGATCATCGGTATCCTCGGAATGAGAACTTCCTCACCTTTGAATTTTCCTATCATTATCGTAGCGTAAATTACATTGTTCATCAATGTAAAATGTTGCACAGTTTTGGTTGGTTTATGTTTCGAAGCATGATTACTACGGAGCCAACCTTTAGGCGTAAATTGTGCGGTGGTAAGCCAGGCACGTCCAAAGAGTTTAAAAATTAAATTGGATAGTTGGTGGCTTCATCTTCATTTGTGACGCAGTCAATAGATTTGAATGAATGCATTGTTCCAATGATCTTATTTTGAATTATGTAGTTTAGGTCATCTACATCTTTATTCTTAGCCGTAGAAATAGTTTTATTATTGATTTCTTACAAATATCAAATTGTCATCCATACGTCATTACATAGCTGTCATTTGCGTTTTGTTATTCCAAGTCTGATTCTCATTGTTATACCACGTTTTATAGTGACTGACGTTTCATGTCAAGTCACACGGGAATGCTGTCGAACGGGATAAAAAGTATCCTATGTCCTTCTCCTGGCTCTAAACTATCTCCCTGCCAATTTTCAGCTAAATCGGTTCAGCCGTTCTTGAGTTATAAGTGGAGTAACGACTTTCTTTTATATATATAGAAGATAGATAAAATATAAAAAACATAAAATGGAAATTAAAACAATATTATACACCTACTTATTAAATTATAATATGAATAACTAATAATATACAATTTACATCTTTTTATGAATTGTGATATAAGTATTTGAAACAATCAACAATCCAGACGTACACGACCGGTACTGATACCTACCCTCGATTATTTTACCTCAACTGAACTCACACATACCCACTCAATTACTAATAATTGTTCAAATATTATTCTAGATTGTATTGCTTGTTTACTAATCATAAAAGCATTTGTTGGCTGGTTTAAAATGTAGTAAAGTAAGTTGTAATAAGATTTGTATACCTGTCATAAAACTAGCAGATAAGTAATTATTGTATTATATACGGCCCTGTGTGCGCACAAAGCATTCATGCTTTTTAGTACACAGTCATAATTTTGTAAGTCATTGTTATTTTTAAATTAAATAAATAAAAAATAAAAAATTTCACCTCCTTTCCTGATGCTGCTTCTACATTACACAACATAAATAATAGCGGCCCCATCTTAGCCGCTAAATATATATATATCTTTGTAGTATTTATTGTTTGATTTAGTATATATTTATGTTTATCATATATTTATTATAAATGTAATTTTTTGTGTAGGTATTCAAGTACATATAATATATTTTTTTATCTTTATGTATATTGTATTAGTATCTGTATTTTGAACATTATATTTTTATGCTTAGTTTTAATTATTTATGACATTTTTATAAAAAATATTATTTGCACATTTTGACCCACTCAACACTTCCTATGCCACGCTCTATTAGGTTGACTGGAAGAGATCTCTTTTAGAGATAAGTCCTCCTTTGTTAACATTAGCTGTAATTAATATACTTACAAATGTATTTAAGTGCAATAAAGAATATTTAACATTTTTTTTAATCTACCGCTCATTCGGAAAGCTGTCTCATCACAACGGAAAGAAACTTGTGTGTTGCTCTTTTAAATAATTCTTGTAAATTCACATATTTCAAGTCAAAACGTGTGAATACAAACTACCAACTAGCACTAATTTATTATTTTATTAGGTAGTTCTCCTCATTCGATTCGTTCTTGACAGAACGGTTGTGGTCATTATGTAGTGGGGTGTGAGCATGCCTCTCTTCCCCACTGGGTACATTGGTCACGTGCCCAGGGCCCCGCGATGGATTTTTTTTTCGATGATAATGGAATGTTGCCCCGCTAACGGTTTACTCTGGCGGTTACACCAGTAAGATGAACATGAGGACAGGTCACTTAGCCCATCGTGACAAATTCACTAGGAATTTATCACGATGGTTTCCAGGGGGTACCGCGGGCGGTCAATCTAACATGGTGCATTGCTAGTAATGGTGAGGTAATGAGTCCACATTACTAACAATCTCCTTCCCCCCTCCCCTCCCCGCGATAGATTGGGGTCCCCTAGTCTAGTCTAGTCCCTACTCCATTACCAAACGATAACCGATAGCTTTACTCTCGTTTGCTTACCAACTATGGTCAAATTGTTCTTTTATGTTAATAATAATAATTGTAATAAATATGTCTAGCGAGAATTTGAACCCCTCATTACAATGTCTTTAAAAAATATTTTTGTCTGGTTTGTTTGAAGGAAAAACTACCAAACCGATAATCATGAAATTATGTACATATTCTTGGAGGTATAAGAACGAATATAGGATACATTTTATTTAAAAATAACAAATATTTTATCAAAACCAAAAAATAAAATGTTAACATTTTGCTACATCAGCACCATCTAGTAGCCTCTCCGATACTTATTTAATGAATTCAAAGAGGCAAATATTCTCACCGTTGCTTCTCAATTTATATATCCTATATGTTCATAAAAATTTTGACTTACTTCCAAAAAACAGCAATATTCATAATATTAATACTAGATTTCAATACAAACTTGCTGTCCCCGAGTATCGTTTAGAAAAAGTTAATAGATCTTTTATGGGAATAGAATTTTACAATAAGATACCAAAGGATATGTTGGAATTACCCTTAAATAAATTCAAAACATCTGACCAAAGCCTATATCTCACTAAACGATTACTTGAATGACGAGTGTGCATGGCAATGGTTGCTCATGCAATGGATTTTCATTTAATGTTAGACATAGACACCTATATACAAATACATTGTAAATAAACTGGTATTAAAAAAAAAAGTAATTCAATTGAGTTTCTTGTCAGTTCTTCTCAATTGGATCTATATACCGAACTGGACGGTAGGGAAAAAATTAAAATTAGAATATAAAAATTTGACGTTCATAAGCGGCTAAAATATCCTACATGAATAAATGATTTTTGAATTTGAATGCGACCGAAGCCGAGGGTAAAAGCTAATTATAATATAGTCGTATGCAGGCGATAAATTTCTAATTTTTAGGACTGTGACGTCGACCATATAACATTCGTATCTTTTGAATCCTACTGCGTATTGTGCTTAAAATTGTGTGTTCATCGAACAGAGGCCAGTTCTTTCTGCGTCCATAATCTTCTACATACGTCAGGAGTGCCATTTTCGCATACTCGTTCAATCCAGGTCGCACATTATCATTTCGATTTTCATAAGCATTCGGCTTTTTACCAGTAATTGAACACACACTCAACGCGTTCCTGCTATACACTTCACTCAACAACATACGCGCTAGTGTTTTACAATCTTCCGACTTCTGCTTGCAATTGGCTAGCCCTAAAGCGTTCACGTAAATACCACTATTGGGTACCAGCTCAACTACCCCTGTTACACGTTTCCTGTACTTTAACGTCCATTTTGTGTCTTTCGGATCATATTCTGGTGGCAAAATGAAAGAGTGTCTCTGCCTTGCGTATTTTTTCTTAGGCTCGTTAATTTTGGTAACTTTATTTCCGACGTTATTATTAGATTTTTTAATTTTATCCACTTTATTTTGGCTTTCAATAGTGATATTTTGATCTGGTGTTGTATTAGTTTCAGTTATGTCATTTACACTGTTTTCTATTATATTAAATTTATTGAAATAATCTAACAGTTTCTGGTACATCTCGCGAGATTTGGGCATTGAAGTATGTATATCATTGAATATGTCACACGTATTAGAAATAGTAGAGCCCATTGATTTGAAGAGAGTAGCAAAAGAATCTAACATTTGCTGCTCTAGCATGGCTTTGCGATTCTCAATCTCTTTGACTGATGTAATATTTTCTTCAGGCTTTTGTACATCCTCTGTAACATGTTTAAGAGTATTTGTTTTAGCATGAGCAATGTCCGTATTTATTTCAATAGGTGATGCATTTGTTTGATTTGTAACATGTTTCCGGTCTGATTTAACTTTGTGACGTGGTATATTGTTATATTCTCTAACAACATCATGATATACAGCAAATTCTTGATCTGATGATTCTTCTATCAAGCATTCGTCTGTTTGACATGATTGATCTACTGCTATTGTTACGGAGCTCATAGGGGTAGAACGTTTTCGAGGAGAGTTATCTGCAAACCGCACGCGTTTTACATTGGAAATGTTCGGATTCATTTCGGTACACTGATCGACAACCTTTCTTTGTGTTTGTGGATTTTGGTACACATGATTTTCATAATCTGCTGTAAATTGTCTTTCGTATGAACGGTCATATATATATGGTGGTTGTGCTATCAAAGATGGCATAGGAGGACTTCGTTCTGCTTGGATATTTTGAGTAGCAGCTGTTTGATATTTGTAATTCTGTTGTAAAACCTTTCCAGTTGGTCTTACATCTGTAAGTTCTCCAATTACATTGGTATAATTTTTTTTAAGAGAGCCTCGTGATGAAGTCGGTATATCGGCCATATCTATAGATGTTCCTTCAGTCACATTTTGAGGGTCGACTGTTATATGATTAGTTTTACCGTCATTATTACTTTTATTGATAGATATATCAACATATATTCTGGATCTGAGTAAATCCTGGCTTTCATCTTGATAATCGGAAGGAGTCTGTTTATACGGATGCTCGACTATTTCATTGCATTCGTTATATGCGTTTGAATAATTTTGCATTACATTTGTATGAATCGACTGATTGGATGGATTAACCAGAATACTTCGAGAATGCGAACTATGGTCGGTATAAGTACACTCAGTAGCTTTTCTCTGTTGGTCGTGTCTTTGTTGTTCTTGTGAGTAATATTGATCAACATGTCTATATTGACTGTTATATGATCTTGAAATGTGTTCATTATTTCCATCGATACTTTGTGCAGTATTGGGTCTTTTATGTATGTCATGAGAATACACATTATGCCCAAAGAAAGCTTGAGAGCCTGGAAAATATTGCACTGGGGGTGATTTCTGTAAAAACTGCGGAGACTGCTGAGCCAAGTATGCTAGGTGTCTAGCAGAAGATGCATTAATTGTCATATTATGGTTAGTCCTCTGTTTTTCTAAGTTAGTTTGTTCGATGGACTTTCCAATATTAACTCTAGACAGTCGCGGATCTTTTTGAGAATAGGCTGGAATAGTCCTATTTGGTTGTAAGGGTTCATGCTGCCTTATTGTCTCCGATGAGCTATCCAAAGCTGTTGTTATATTATTTGCAGTATTTTCAACATTATGTTTTTTACCAAATGGTTTTTTATAATTTGATGTTGGTGTTTTTTTGCATAAATGTTCATACAGTTGAGACGATACATTAATTCCATCGTTAGCATGTGTTGCATTATTTGTAAATTCTTGAGAATATTCTTCTCCAATATCATTATTATTACTAGAAGACTGTTTAGTTTGTGTTTGCATAATTGCAAAAGAATTTTGACCATTTATTGTTGAATATGGCAGTTGATTATAAGATGCAGTAGCTTCAGTATCATTCCGAATAACGTTTTGGTTAAATACATTAAACTTATCAGGTCTTTTAACGTGTACTTTTTGCATATCAGACTTTGGAATTGGTTTATCAATATAAGTTAGTGAAACTTTGTTTTCCTGTACAGGTTTGGATTGACATGGCTGGCTGGATGTTATAGGACGAATATGTACAACAGATGAATCTCTTTTTAAGATGAATTCAGGTAGGTCTTGATCAGTGCTAGTAGTTTCGATTGGTTCATTTATATTTATGTCTGGCATACTGCGATTTTGGTTATAAGTTTGACCGTGAATAAGTTCTTTACTATTTGAGTGGTCGTAGGAATTTGATGGTTTATTATTCTGGAGATTAAATTTATCACGAGATTTTTTTGCTTCACTATCTGATTCATTCCTTTGTACGGAAGTCTCTTCCTTATTCATAAATATGGTAGGTTTATCTGTTGCAGGACTTTGTATTAATTTCTTTTCGTATAATATTATAGATTTTCCACTATTAGAACATTGAAGTGTTTTAGTATATTGATCACGAACAGGACCACCTGACTGAATCTTAGTTTTTAACTGTTTTCTAACAAAATCTTTTAAAGGTATTAAGCCTGGTCGTTTGATAGGCTCGAGAGGGTTTTTGTGAATCATCTCAGACATCTGTGGTTTGACAATGAGACTGGACGAGGAGTTTGGAGTGAAACCTCTCCTAGTGATTACCTAAAACAATTAAACAATCAGATTAGCATTTCGAAAAGGTAATTTTTTAATGAAGGTTATATACCTTAGTGGTCTAGCTGTTTAACACATCGCGTGACTTTCGATGGACACAGGTTCGAATCTTCCCACGGTTTGATTGATAGTTTGTATTGGTCTGGGTGTTTTCTATGTATAGTTTTATATATACTTATTTGTTCTTTATGTCTTCTCGTATCTCCTGGGACGTAAGTTTTTATCGACATAATATCGGCTCGTTAGCCACAGCTCCACGTCTTTACTCCGCGGCGCTTGCGCAGAAATATCTCCCCTCTTGCGCATGGCGGCCCGTGTACGCTCGGCGCGAGACGACAGATAATAAAACTCTAGTGTTTCCACATACACTACACTATGTATATTATCTATGTATTTAGAAATTAAATTGAGTTGTTTGTATGATATTATATACAGTGTTTTTATAGTGAACTTGTGCCTCTTTTGATGTAAGATAAGTGATTTCCACCGTCCATAAATATTTTGTTACAAGTGTGTTGTCGGCCTATTAGTAAGCTGCAGCAGTCATTCAGATCCCTCTTTGACAACACTAATAAAATTCGATTTTGTCTATTATAATCTAATATATAAAATTCTCATGTCACAGTGTTAGTTGCCATACTTCTCCGAAACGGCTTAACCGATTTTGAAATAACTTTATATGTATAGATCTGCAAATAGCTTGTTACTCGTATCCCTATACCCTAAGTTTTTATATTTTATGACTTGTCATTAAAAAATACCATACTAATTCACGCTAATTTCACCCTTCTACCACCACCCTTATTTTTTATAGCAATACTTTTATTTATATGGCAAAACATGACAGCCTCGGTGGTCTAGTGGTTTAGCATACCGCTTTGCTATCCGATGGTCGCGGGTTCGATTCCTCGCACGGTACAAATATTTGTATTCATGAGTATGATTGTTTGTATCGGTCTGGGTGTTTTCTATGTATAATATGTATTTATTTACAAAACAAAAATGTATCCATGTATTTATATCAGTTGTCTAGTACCCATAACACAAGCTCTGCTTAGCTTGGGACTAGATAGCGCTGTGTGAATTGTCCTGAGCTATTATTATTATTATTATAAAACAACGTTTGCTGGATCAGCTAGCAGCTTAGTTAGCTAGTTAAAACAGATGAGACTATATACATATATATGTATAGGTATATATACACATATATAAAGTGTCACTTGTTTTAACTTGTAATCTTGAAATAATAAAAATAATGTTTTAAATTAACTTGATTTATTTCATCCAACAAATATGTTATCCTAGGATAGGTAATTATGATAACTTATCAGTAATGAGTACTATGTTATTGCAGTGTATATATTTTAATAGATGTATATGGAATGCTGCACGCGTAGTACCAGTATACTACCAGTATATACCGAAGGATGTATATAGAATAGAATAGAATAAAAAATCCTTTATTAAAATAAACTTAATTTAAGCACTTTTGTATAGTCATAGTTTTAAAACAAAATTTATTTTAAAAAGCAACACGCAAGTTTCTTTCTCATACTTTTTGTGATGAGTCTCCGAATGAGTGGTAGAATAAAAAAATAGAATAGAATAAAAAATCCTTTATTAAAATAAACTTAATTTAAGCACTTTTGTATAGTCATAGTTTTAAAACAAAATTTATTTTAAAAAGCAACACGCGAGTTTCTTGTTCATTTTTTTTGTGATGAGTCTGCGTTCCGAATGAGTGGAAGAATAAAAAAATAGAATAGAATAGAAAAACCTTTATTCAAATAAACTAAATTTAAGCACTTTTGTATAATTATAGTTTTAAAACAACATTCATTTTAAAAAGCAACACGCAAGTTTTATGCTCATTCCTCTTGTGATGAGTCTGCGTTCCGAATGAGTTGTAGAATAAAAAAATAGAATAGAATAGAAAAACCTTTATTAAAATAAACATAATTTAAGCACTTTTGTATAATTATAGTTTTAAAACAACATTCATTTTAAAGAGCAACACGCAAGTTGCTTGCTCATTATTCTTATAATGTATGTGCGTTCCGAATGAGTGGAAGAATAAAAAAATAGAATAGAATAGAAAAACCTTTATTAAAATAAACATAATTTAAGCACTTTTGTATAATTATAGTTTTAAAACAACATTCATTTTAAAAAGCAACACGCGAGTTTCTTGTTCATTTTTTTTGTGATGAGTCTGCGTTCCGAATGAGTGGAAGAATAAAAAAATAGAATAGAATAGAAAAACCTTTATTCAAATAAACTAAATTTAAGCACTTTTAAATAGTTATAGTTTCATTCTACCGCTCATTCGGAAAGCTGTCTCATCACAAGAAGAACGAGCAAGAAACTTGCATGTTGCTCTTTGAAATAACCGTTGTAATTTTACATTTTTGAGTCGACATCTGTGAATAGAAACTACCAACTAGCACTAATTTATTCTGGTCGAATATTAAATACACAATAAGATTAAACCACTCGTAGTGATTAGAGCAGACCAGTCCCTACAGTATGTTAGATTAACAATCCTTATAAGTTTAAAGTCAATACAAAATAAATATAAATTTACAATTGAAACCTAAACTTATTCTGTCTGTCGCACTTTCACATCAAAACTACTGAACCGATTTAAATGAAATTTGGTATACATATAGTCTAGACCCTGAGAAAGGACATAGGCTATTTTATTGCGCAAAAGGGGTTGTAAAGGGGAGATGAAAGGTTGTATGAAAGCAATGGAGGATCCAGATTTGGCGCCAGGAGGGGGTCACATAGTCATGGTCAAGTCAAAAACTTATCATTTTTGATAACAATAGATACAAGTAAAAAGTAGGTATTTTATTAATGTACGTAAGTACTTGAAAATATTTATTCTTTATTGTGTGTACACTTGAAAAACTTAACACTTAATAACTTGTACATATTGCCATCTTCTCTTGAAGACATCCAGAGAAGCACTATTTAAATATAATTAATTAAATATTGAAGGTATGTAACTATGTAGTTACATAATATCTGTATGGTGACAAAATATATAAATAAAATAATTATGTTCGATTAGTCCCACCTAAGTCCTGGGCTCAGGGGGGTCATGACCCCCATGACCCCCAACATTATTTTATGGACCCTGGATACGCCGTTGTATGGAAGTATCGTCAATTTTTAAAGATTGAAGCTTGAAACCTATTTTTTAGGCTCTTGATTCAATAAATATGACATGCAAAGTTTCTAAAAATTTTACCCTTGAAAAAATAAAACAAGATGAATGTTTGTATGGAAATTCGTCTAATCCACACGGACAAAGTCATGGGCACAGCTAGTTAGTTATAAATGCATCATATACTCATTATTTATTATATTAATAACTAGCTGTTCCCGCTACTTCGTCCGCGTGTAATTTAACTTTATTTTTCTAAAATAAAAGTAGCCTAAAGAACTAAAAATTATTTTGTTCGTCTTAATTTATTCGTTCCATTATGTACTGATAGGTTCAAACTAACACATTTACATCCTGCATCATCCCTTATTTTATCCCCATGGGGGTTGAATTTATCAAAATCCGATTTAACGAGCGAACGTCTTCGTCATAGTAGCTCCAATCCTTAATTTCAAATCAGTTAGTCGAAAATCTAAGAAGTTTCATACAACCTTTCATCCCCGATTTTATCCCCTTGGGGGTAGAATTAATCAAAATCCTTTCTTAGCGGATGCCTACGTCATAACATCTACCTGCATGCCAAATTTCAGCCCGATCCGTCCAGTGGTTTGGGCTGTGCGTTGATAGATCACTATGTCAGTCAGTCAGTCACCTTTGAGTTATTTCTCTTTTAAATACTTAATTCTCATCTCCTGGATTTTGTTAGTCATGGCACTTATGACATTGTGATGATCAAATTGAGACCAGCCTTTTAAACGACTGTGTTCTTTGATGAACGACAACAAAATAATCTTTGCATTTTGATCTAAAACTGGCCTAGCACTTTTAGAACGTTTCTCTAAATCTGTATAACATTTTGCCCCTAATAAAGAGCAAACACGTAAAGCGTTATCAGAATATGTCTCCAATAGCAACATTCGAGCTAATGAGTTGCAATCTTTCGCTGCCAATTTACAATACGCCAATTTGATTGCGTTAACAAATACACCGCTGTTAGGTACCAGCTCAGTTAGACCTGGCTCTGAGTGATTATTACGATGCCTGAGAGTCCATCTTGCATCATTCGCGTCGTATTCTGGTGGTAGTATGAACGAAGAGTCATGTTTGCGGGCCCTTTTTGGAGTTTTATATTTGTCATTCTCATTATTAGAATCTTCTTCTTCTTCTTCGGTACTATCGTTGTCAACTATGTAATCAGAATCTTCGTTATCATCACTATCCTCGCTGCTACTTGATATATCATCTTCTTCATCATCATGATCATTATTTTCATTAGTCTTATCACCTTTGTTGTCTCCTAACTCTTCGATTTGTATCTCAGTATTTTTTCCTTCATTATGTGAAGTGGTCTTTGTAGTCGAAGTACTTAGCTTGTTAACAACGTTATTCAATTTATTGAATATTTCAACTGACTTTGTAAATGAGTTTCGCACATCTTCAAGTCTTTTGCAAGTATTAGAGTAATCCGTATTAATATTTGCAAGAACATTTATAATATTTTCATTAAACCAAGCAGCTTCAACGTTTGTATAATTCATTGATGCATTGACTTCTGGAGTATCTCGGTTACCATCAGCTGGTTTCTCTGTACTACAGCTGGTGGAACGATTATTGTAATCATCATAAATTCCTCTGTCTTTTGCGGATGACATTCTTTTAGACATTCTCTTGAAGTGTTGTTACTTATACCGTTATCGCAGATTTTTTATTTTTCTTTTAGTTTAATAAATTTAACATTCAGTTTACTAGCCCCAATTATCTTTGCTTTAATAAATTTGTTATATATATTTATGTTTCGAGTGGCGAAAATAATTTTTGAGCCATACACAAAACATCATCAGTATTGATTTCATAAATTATAATTTTTTAATGATTTTGATCTGTATATATAAAAATCTTCTTGACCATTGATTTTTTTTCCAATTCTGTTATATTTTCGATATTGTCTTCTTGTAAGTCTTCTCTCTCCCGAGCTGTCGTGTCTTCGCCGATACAACTGCAAGTCAGAGTGAGAATACTTGTGAGTGTCTGGAGTCTGAACTAAGTCGAAACCTACAGATCTCCAGGCTCTCTCCGATGAATTAAAAATAAGTTCTTGCCAGTTCTCAATCGAAATTTCTCTCAAATATCCTAATTGAAGAAATCATTACACTTACTTAATTACTTAATACTTTACAGTAATATAACTTATACATCAGAGGAACATGTAGGCTGTAAATTAATTTATTTATGTAATAAATACTTGTGAGTGTGTGGAGTCTGAACTAAGTTGAAGATCTCCAGGCTACAGATCTCCAGGCTCTCTCCGAGGACTTACTGTGTTATGTAATAAATTTAATAGTCTATAATAATCTAGTTGGTTAAAATATTTATTATTATTATTATTAACTCCCAACTTCTATAAGAACTTTGAATAAGAAGCCTATTTATAAAATACTTAAAGGATTTACTATTTAAAAAAAAATATTATAATGTAAGTGAATATTCAAATGATATATTTTAGTTTTTATGTAATATTTAATTAATGTCATATTATAATAGATAAATGTATGAATAATATTAAATTGTATATTATAGTTAGTTATAATAATAATAATGTTATGTTTACGTGCCCTAACAGGGTCCATAATGATCTAAAACCAATTATGAACAGCTTCCATTTTAATATTATGGAATGCAATAAATATTGAATATTGAGTAATAAATATTAATATAAATAGAATAGAATAGAAAATAATTTCTTCAAATAAACTTAATTTAAGCACTTTTGAATAGTCATAACAATTTTTTTTTATCTACCGCTCGTTCGGAAAGCTGTCTCATCACAAGAAGAACGAGCAAGAAACTTGTGTGTTGCTCTTTTAAATAATCCTTGTAAGTTTACATTTCCAAGTCGAAACGTGTGAATACAAACTACCAACCAGCACTAATTTTTTGGGTTAAATATAAATATACAATAAGATTAAATCAGTCGTAGTGATAAGAGCAGACCAGTCCCTACAAGCAGCACTCGTTCACGAGTATGACGGATGAGCCAGCCCTCACTGCGCTCGACCATATTTTAGGGAGCCCAATGACCCGGCTAACCACGCCACCAATATATAAATATTACGCCGCCAACATATAAATAAATGTTAAAATAAATAAATAATCCTTACTCCTTACTCCTTACTCCTTATTCCTTATACCTTACTCCTTACTCCTTACTCCTTACTCCTTACTCCTTACTCCCTACTAATATTATAAATCCGAAAGTAACTGTCTACTTTTGAATGCGAAAAAAGGGTTTAAAGGGGTTGAAAGTGGGGATGAAAGATTGTATGGAAGAATCGTCATTTTTTGAAGCTAAAAGTTTGAATCTTATTTTTGAAGCTGTTGCTTAAATATGAATAAATATGACAATCAAATTTGTAAAAATTTTACCCTTAAGGAGGTAAAATATCATATAGGCTGTAATTTAAAAATATATTATATAAATTGGGCGATATATAATGATAAGTGTGATGCAGACGAAGTAGCGCGGGGCAGCTAGTATGTAATATGTACACAATTAGATAATACATCTGTGTACTTTTGTAGAAAGTTGTGTTATTGCTCTCTTACCGAATTCATGTCATGTTTACTTATGCAGCTACTTCATTCGAGTCTTTAAAAATAAGTTATGTTTCTTGTCAGTTCTCAATTGAAATGTCTCTCAAATGTCCTAATTGAAGAAATCATTACACTTACTTAATTACTTAATACTTTACAGTAATATAGCTTATACATCAGAGGAACATATAGGCTGTAAATTTTATGCTAGTAATTGTATATTATGTAAAGAGATGATAAAAGATATGCGAATGCTCTGTAAACAGAGTATCCCGTATCATATAATTTATCGCTTGGTTTTCCCAAATGTCTAAAATTAAATATGCTCATACGAAATATTTTGTATGTATAACAATTTAAACTAATTTTATATATAAAATTCTCGTGTCACAGTTTTCGTTCTCATACTCCTCCGAAACGGCTTGACTGATTCTCACGAAATTTTGTGAGCGTATTGAGTAGGTCTGAGAATCGGCCAACATCTATTTTTCATCCCCTAAATGTTAGGGGTAGTCCACCCCTAATTTTTTTTTATTTTAAGGCAAAACAACGTTTGCGGGGACAGCTAGTATCTATATATTTATGACAACCTCGTTGGTCTAGTGGTTTAATATACTGCTTTACTTCCGATGGTCGCGGGTTCGATTCCTCACACGGCACAAACATTTGTATTCACCGCTCGACCACCGAGGCTGTTAATTATTATTATTACAATGTTTTGGACATTGTAATTATTATTATTGTAATTTAAAGAGCGTTAAAAGTTAAGCATGACAAATTCCTAGTGAATTTGTCATGATGAGCTAACTGACCTGACCTCATCTTATCATCCTCCACTGGTGCCCGCCAGCGTAAACTGATAGCGCAGGCGGGTGCACCATTCCATTATCATCCATAAAAAAAAAATCGTACAGACGTTTTTACGTAAAGCCTACTTTACACAGTTTTCGCTCGTCACTATTATTATTATTTATTTGGTTTCAGCTTTAGTTTACAGTTGTAGATCTGTTATATAATTTAGCATATGACACACTTATATACAGATACCAAGAAGGTATCTATATATTATTATACGCAACTAGATTTATTACCTACTATTATTAGAAAAAAAACTAACTGTACATTACAGTACTTGAAGGTAGTTCGGATTACGTGTTTCATTCAATCTTTACACTATCAAATGGGCCATTAATGCCAAAACAATAATATTTATTATTATTAACTGCAATCGGTAAGTAAGTATTAAAATAAAAAATCACAACACTAAAAAAATTTGAGTTCCAACTTCACTAGCATTATCTCCGGCACAAAAAAAAATAGTCAAATGTACTTTGAGTCTGTCCCCTTTAAAAACTTAAGACTAAAAAAATAAATACGCAATTTCCCGCGCTTTTCGTTTCGGCAAAAATAAAAAAAACATTAGCCAATTGATAGATGAGTCTTTGCCTGCTCTTTAAGGTTTAGAAACAACATGAATACAAACAAAGAGATATAAATAAATAACTTACTTGTATTTTACAACAGCTCAGAGTTATCACATTTGCTATCCGGTTATTAATTTTAATAGCTGTTTTTTACATTGAATTCCGCAACCAAAATCCGCAACTAAATCAGATATGTTCAAAACGCAATACGCGTTTCAATACACATGCAACAAATCTTCAATCATTTTCATAAATTGATTCACAAATTCAAAGTGCGTTGACATCACTGTCTGGAAGTAAAAAACAATCGCATTGCAATAAACAAGGTCAAATAAATGATAACTGATTCAAAACATTGCGGTCAATCTATTGCAATGCAAATGAGAGACGCGCATGGCAAGTTGTTCATATACGGGATTTTCATTTAATCTTAGATATAGGCACATTTCTTTTTCATTGCATTTAATGTTAGACAGACATTTTTTTTTCATATTCGTCCATTCAATTCCAATTTAAGTCCAATTTTCAATTGAATTTGTACACTGAACCGTCCAGTTCAGTATATTAATACAAAAAACTTGATGTTCATAATCAGTTAATATGTATGAATAAATATTTTTTATTTGATTTGATTTAATTACTCTCGTATTATACCTACACATGTAATATTATCTTATCTGTCTGCCTACATGGACAGAATATATATTTTGTTGGAGTAGAAAATATTGGCGGGAAAAGTCTTACCGTATTGTTGTATTAAATTGTCGATTTTAAAATTAGAATATCACAATTCCTTTGCCGGGATTTTTTGTATGACACATATAAAAAAAAAATTTTTTGTAAGTTTAAGTTGTTTTATATTTAAATGTAAAACTGTTTCTGTTTCGGAACAACATAAGTGGATTTCATGCAGAAAATTTATTATTTATAAACATGTCCACAGTAGTCCGAGTTACGACCTATACTGAGTCACTATAAACGAGCTTGATGCATGCAAAATCCATAGATAACCTAACACACTATTTTTACAATTCCAAGAATCCAAACTTTGGTTGATAATAGAATTTATCACTACATATTTTTTGTTAAAATCGAGTTACATTTGTTATTAGTCGCTTGCAGTAGGTGTTCCATTATTTGGAGGGAATTGAATACCAAATTTGAATTTAAAAATTAATATGTATTATTGTAAACATGTCGGTACAACATTTATTTGAAAAGAATACGAGCTGAGTTTCTTTTCAGTTCTCGTTTCGAAATCATTCCGAAGTGATGGCAGATTTGACATTACATAAGAGACTGTAATAGACCTACATGATATTTTAAATTTTATATTATATTGGGAACTAGTGAATCTATTGACAGTGCTTTTATGATATACTAACTAACCAGCGCAACTTTGTCTGCATCACAGTTATTTGACATTTATCATTATAATATTAACAGTAGTTTTACCTAAGTGCCGTTTGACGAAAGTTAGTAATTCGTTTTATGGAAATTGCGTAAGGTTTTACAACAAAATCCCAGAGTCTGTACTCAATTTGCCAGAAAAAAAATCAAATGTGTCATAAAATATTTTCTTTGTAAAAAAGCTTATTATATAATTGAAGTTTTTTTTTATCTGTGTTTTTTTTTTATTGTAGGTATTAATGTAATTAATTTTAGGTAATTTTATTTATAGCTTTAAATATATATTATAATATTTTGCATTTAGTAATTGAAGAATTTATAAATGATAATAATGTTTTTGTAGAAAATATTTAACTTAAAATTCATAGCGCTGACAATGTTATCTGATTGAACAGAGATTAAGTGCGTAGCGGTTTCTATGTTGATTGTCGCATGCACAATCCTTGTTAATGTAAATCAAATTAAAAAATATTTATTTAAAAGAGCAACACACAAGTTTCTTGCTCGTTCTTCTTGTGATGAATCTGCATTCCGAATAAGCGGTAGAATAAAAAAAATTGGCTATTCAAAAGTGCTTATATTAAGTTTATTTGATTAAAGATTATTTCTATTTCTATTTCTATTTGGTCTAATTAAAGTCAGAGACGTGCTATGAGAATTGTTGATGATCCCAATCTCTCAAACGGTATCGAGCCACTTCGCTTGAGGCGAGATTTCGCATCGCTTTGTGTGTTCTACCGAATATACAACGGACTGTGTTCTGAGGAATTGTTTGACATGATGCTTACGGCTACCTTTTACCATTGCACCGCTCGCCATCGACAGGGAATTCATGCCCACACGCTGGAACCTAAGTCTAAGTAAGGTCTCGGACAGTGCGGTTTCAGAGGAGCTTCCTCCCGCGTACACTTGGCTTGTGTAATGAACTACCTGCCGAGGTTTTCTCGAGAGATTACAGCTTGGGGTTTTTCAAGAATTAAGGTTTCTTAAGCGTCGGCATAACGCATGTGACACCCCTGGTGTTCATAGGGTACGGTAACCGTTTACCATCAGATGGGCCGTATGCTTGTTTGCCACCTACTTGGTATGTAAAAAAAAATCGTCGTATGTTACAAGTGTAAGCACAACAGAAATAAGTTTTCAGCAATAGATGGAGAGATTCAAGAGGAAGGTTTTATATGTATATGTATATGTGGGTAGAAGGTCATAAATAAAACATAATATGAGTTGTTGCAGAATGTATGAATTATTGCACATTCCCATAAAATATTTATAATAAAAAATTAACAATTAAATAAGAAATACAACAATTTCGCCTCAAATTTAACTTCTCAAAACAAACTTATTCATTTATTGGATTACTCTTTATACAAGAAGTAAATAATTTATACATATAAATTAAGTTGGAGTGTTTGTTTGTAATGTTGGAATAACCTTTTTTTACTACATGCATATGAATATAAATACGGTACATACAATAAAATATTTTTTTTTACAATTTTTGTCTGTCTGTCAGTTTGTTCTAGCTACTTTCTGAAATGGCTGGACTGATTTTGACGGGACTTTTATTGGCAGGTAGCTGATGTACTAAGGAATAACTTAGACTACTTTTATTTTAGTAAAATTGTTGTAGAAATTAATTAACTTAACTATTTATAACTGAAAAAATGTTTTGAATGTTAAGATGGTGGACAGTGAAGTAACATATTATATAATGTTGTTTTTATAATCTTGATTAAAGAATACAAAAATAAACTTTAAATATATTAATATCAAAAGAGTTTCTCAACAAAAATTCTTTTATTTTAGAAAAATAAAGTTGATTTTGGTAGATAGCTAATGTAATAAGTAGTAACGACGTAGGAAGTCGCGGTAACAGCTGGTTTATTTATATATTTACTCTTTATACAAGAAGTAAATAATAAAGAATGTAAATAGTAGTAATAAAGTAAAAAAGGCGGTCGTATTGCATGAGAAATATCTACCAGACAGCCTCAATTTAATTTAACCTTCATTTGAACCGAACTTAATTTCATAATGACGATAGTGATTCACAATATGACAGTGACCTTCTTGTTTTTGTTCTCTATCCACATACATATTATATGTGCAGATTTTTTAAAAATAAATTAAAAAAAATACTCCTCCTCACTCAGAGAACTGTGCCGTGATGTGTCTGCACTCCAAGAGCGGGGTAATACAGGGTAATACTAGTGTCACCAGAATTTATATTTATTTTATGTTTTCAGTGTGTAGTTTATGTGTGATGTTTATTTATATATGGTAGTATGTCGTAAATGTTTGCTTTGTGTTGTCCGCCTGGATTTATGTATGTATGTGTATTATTATTATTTTATTATGTTTATTGTATATGAAGGTATCCGCTGAAAATCAGCGTCGTGGCACTCCGTCACGACATATGCTGAGCGGAGACCTAGTTGGTACTCTAATTATTAATATAAAATGTAAATTAAATTTTAATAATTATTTTCAGTGTACCAAATAAACAATTTTCTTTCTTTTTCTTTTCTTTTCATATAAATATTATAAAGCTGAAGAGTTTATTTGTTTGTTTAAAAGAGTTAATCTCAAATCGGTTTTTGATACTCAATGAAATTAGGTCTCTTTGTTTATATTAATACTAGTTGACGCGGCAAACGTTGTTTTGGAATATAGATTTATATTGCTATTAAGAAATAGGGGTTGATCGCTACAATCAACCTCTATTTCTTATACGGGTTGATTGTAGAAACGTGAAAATTTAGAGTTGCATATATTTTTTAATGCCTAATCACAAAAAAAATTATGTAATTTTTTTTTGTATATGGTCTTAATTCTTAGGAGTATAAGATATAGAGCAGAGGTTCCCAAACTTTTTTGTATCGTATCCCCTTGCCAGTTTTTTCGGTTTTGGGTAGACCCCCCATTTTTACCTGGTATTGATTTTTTTTTGTAAATTTCTAACTGTAGTAAACTTTAGTGTTAAAAACATAAAGTAAAAACAACAAGATGACCGCTGTCGTTTGTCATAGACCCCTGTGGTCGATATAGACCACTTTGGGAATCTATAATATAGAGATCCTTTTTTAAACTTTTAGGGGTATAAAAAATAGATAACAACCTACTCTCTAGATCTACCGAGTCTAAGTTCATCCGGATTCCAACGTGGAAAAACAACGTAACAATTTTTTATATATTACTACCTATGCCCACGTTTTGACTCGCATAAAATTTACAGCCTATATGTTCCTCTGATGTATAAGCTATATTACTGTAAAGTATTAAGTAATTAAGTAAGTGTAATGATTTCTTCAATTAGGATATTTGAGAGACATTTCAATTGAGAACTGACAAGAAACATAACTTATTTTTAAAGCCTCGAATAGCTGCATAAGTAAACATGACATGAATTCGGTAAGAGAGCAATAACACAACTTTCTACAAAAGTACACAGATGTATTATGTAATTGTGTACATATTACATACTAGCTGCCCCGCGCTACTTCGTCTGCATCACACTTATCATTATATATCGCCCAATTTATATAATATATTTTTAAACTATAGCATATATGATATTGTACCCTCTTAAGGGAAAAAAATTTACAAACTTATAATGTCATATTTGTTCATATTTAATCAACAGCCTCAAAAATAAGTTTCAAGCTTTTAGCTTCAAAAACAACGATTCTTCCATACAATCTTTCATCCCCACTTTCAACCTCTTACAACCCTTTCTTCCCATTCAAAAGTAGCCTATGTCCTTTCTACGAGTCCAGACTATCTGTGTACCAAATTTCATTTAAATCTTGTATGTAGTTTGGACGTGAAAGCGAGACAGACAGACAGACAGAGTTACTTTCGCATTTGTAATATTAATAAAGATTGATCATCATGTTTAAAGTAAACACAGTTTATGCTGTAAATAATATAAATGACGTAGTGGAGTAACTTGAAACAGTCATGCTCGCTATAAAGTTCAAACTTGTGGCGGCGTGGTGGGCCGGGTCGATGTGCTCCCTCTAATATGGTTGAGTGCAATGATGGCTGGTTCATCCGTCATACACGTGAACGGGTGCTGCTTGTGGGGACTGGTCTGTTTAGGTTGCGAACACTGATTAGACTATTTGCTTTTGCAATAGCTTATGCTGGTCACTCTATTCTCCAAAGTTTGAATTTAAAAATTAATCTGTATTATTGTAAACATTTATTTATATTAATTTGAAAAGAATACGAGCTGAGTTTCTTGTCAGTTCTTCTCATCTCGAAATCATTCCGAACTGACGGTAGATTTGACATATCATAAGAGTCTGTAATAGACCTATATGAATAAAGATAATTTGAATTTGAATTTAAACATCGTAGAAGATAATATTAAATATATTATATATATTTTTACTAATAATATAAAAACGCAAGTTTGTAAATTGGGAAGGAAAGATGTTTGTTACTCTTTCACGCAAAAACTACTTTACGGATTGTGATGAAACTTTACAGTAATATAGCTTATACATCAGAATAACACGCTATAAATTTCATATGGGCACAGATAAACACAGCTTTGTTATTTTTACAAGTAACACGAAGATTACAAGCTTTTAGTATAAAATTAAGTACCATTTATGCAGAAAGAAAATCTATCATTGTTTTATAATTGGTCTTACATATCAAACTTGTATGATTAAAAAAATCTATACATATAATTAGTAAAAATCACTCACTCGATCACAAACATCAAGACTGATCAGTCTACCCGTGATCATGGCGGTTAAAACACTGCCAACATATCGGGAACTCAATAAATATAAAACGTGGTAAGATCCCGTGATTTACTAATTATACATATAAATAATGACTGCGTTAAATTTAAAACAGTATATAAAAATACTATTCCTAAGTATAAAATAGGATTTGAGAAATTGCAACGAAATATGGTATTTTGTTATGTCCAATTTACACTCAGCCCGTGTGGGCAGGGAAGTGAGCAGCGCGAGAGTGTAAACACGAGTGGAAACACTTCCCATGCCATTGGCGCTGCCACTCGCGCTGCCCGGCGCTCCCTCGATTGTCGGTTTTTCGTGAGCGAGTCAAAGGACTGGCAGCGCGAGTGGCAGCGTGTTTTTACATTCAGCCTTCTCGATCATTCGGCAATATTTCCGGCAGCGTGAGTGGCAGGGGAAGCGGCTGAATGTAAACAGCATATATATAGTCATTATTTAATCATATGAACCGCGGCAGTTCATCCAGTTATCAATAAAACGTAATATCCGGTATTATCTGAGCATCGCATATTGGTTTACAGTAAAGTACCGTGTAAAGTTAAAGTAATGCTTACTATTTGATTTAATCAGCACAATGACGGACAGTAATATTATTACATTATTAACAATAAACTTTTATTGCATAATAAATTACGTGACATTCGTAAAGTTAATGTTAACCGGGACGGTTGTCGTATGTAGTTAACTTTCTTAGAGTTTTCACTTTTCATAGACCACCGGCACAGGTTTTAGCGAGTTGGTGACATATAAATATAGTTACAATATTTCACTTGCCGCATTTCGACGGTGCTCTTCGTGGAGGGTCGTCGATTTTTGACGCGTTTCTGCATTGAAGGTCACAGTATCATTTGCATAAAAACTGTTTTTAATACAACTTAGCTTGTTGAATTATTTGTAGTGTTTACTTGGATTGAATATTTGCTTTGAACTTTTTTTTGTTAATGTGTTGTAGATATATTCAGTCGAATTATATAGATATATGTTTTTAAATAAACATATAAAATATTTAAAAAATAGAGATGTAGTTTTATAAATTAGTTCTTATATTTTTGTTGATATGAAATGTCATTTTACATTCAAAAGAAACTAAAAAATTTCTTAAAAATCTACTTTAGTAGATATATTTTTAATAAAATAAATATTTTAGTACTCGAAAGTACTATTTCAATTTACGCCAATTTTTGTATTGAGTATTTTAATTTACACAGTGGCAAGATATGGTCTGTTAAATAAGGAAATTGATGTTCATGTTTGTGAATTTCATTGTTAATTTAAACAATGTATAAAATATTGAATAAATAATTATTACTTTTCTGTGTTTTATTTGTACTTTTGTACTTAAAGAATATAGAAGAATGTATATTCTTTTTTAAGTTGCATTTGAATAGATATTTTACGTTAATTGAAATAAATAATTTATCTATACAATTACACTTATGCAGGTATTGTATTATTATTACAATTTAATATTACATTAAATTAACTCACTGAGATAAATAATTCATCTTATAAATTATGGCTTGTCACATTTATAATTAACACTAATAAATAGGACTCATTGTGACAAGATCTGTCACACTCTACTTCGTGTCAAATTGAATTAAACTAACAAGTGTAATGTTTTTGTTTATAATTTTGATACGACGTATATATTAATATTTAATTCAATTTGACATTATTCTTATCGTGACGAATTTATAATAACCCACTTGTAAATATTTAAGTTTTCTTTCTTTAAATACCTAATATTTGAATTATGAAATTCTTTCTAATTTCAATTACTGAAACAGTCTTGATAACAATGTGTAGAGAGCATTTGCTTCGAAATATAATGTAATGTAACGTTTGCTTCGAAGTGTAATGTAATGTAATGAATAATTGTTGACTTGGCCGCAGCTGGCCTTTACAGCTTCACCGGACGATAGGGGGCGAGTGCAGATGGCACTCCAAACCAAAGGAAGGACTTATGGAACGGCTGAAGACCAACTCCCGCCTGACGGATAGGAGTAGTGTAGTGAGGGCACCGCTAGGGGTTCGAACCTCGGCTCAGGCCGTCGTAATTTCTATCCCTGTTTGAATTGAACGGGAATCGATCGTAGAGAGGTCGATTACATTACATTACATTTAGTTTATATAATCATTTACATGTCAAGTTTTCGCTAATGTAAATGATCATAGGTGATGTCAGCATGGAATCCACTGGGTCCGGCTGAGTATTTGACTTTCTGCATTCTACCGTCCGGTAGTAAGACGTGGTAATGCCCGTTGGTAGCTTTGCCGTGCTTCGCTTCTGAATGCCCGAAGTCATTGCCGCTGTGGTGATCTCGGACTCTATACCCGAATTCGTAGTTGGCTGCGTAGTGAAGCTGGAATTGGAGAAAATTTCATATATTAGTTATAGGACGTAAATATATTATAATAGTTTATTATATTATATATTTTATATTATTATAATAGTGCATCAATAATATTTGAAGAACTTTGAAATCACACTAACTGTGCCTACGATTTCACCTGCGTGAAATTTATAGCCTATATGTTATTCTGATGTATAAGCTAAATGAATAGAGACTGAGTCTCTTGTCAGTTCTTAGCTCCAAATAGAATTTTCTTGTGATGAGACAGCTTTCCGAACGAGTGGTAGATAAAAAACAAATAGTTATGACTATTCAAAAGTGCTTAAATTAAGTTTATTTGAATAAATGATTTTCTATTCTATTCTATTCTAAAAATTAGAAATAGAAATAATCTTTATTCAAATAAACTTAATATAAGCACTTTTGAATAGTCAAGTTTTTTGATTCCACCGCTTATTCGGAATGCAGATTCATCACAAGAAGAATAAGCCAGAAACTAAAACTAAAGCACTCCGAATTGACGGTACAGCAACTGATTACTACTCACTACATTCTCCTCAATTTAAAAGTGAATCTGTATTTTTACAATCATGTACAATCTCATTTCAAATGAATAGAAACCAGAGTTTCTTGTCAGTTCTTAGCACGAAAGCACTCCGAACTGACGGTAGATTTGACATATTATATGAGTCTGTAATTATTAGACACATTGATTGTGGAATAAAAACCTATAATTCATCACATTTAAAATTAGTGTGATGAGATAGCTTTACGAATGAGCGGTTGATTAAAAACAATGTTATGACTATTCAATGTAAGTTTATTTGAATAAATGATTTTCTATTCTATTCTATTCTTTTTTAAAATTAGTGTTCCTGTTGCTAAGTAACATGTGTAACGTGCAACTGTGATGAAATCCATATTAAATTATATTTGCTGTTGTATATCTATCCACTAAATATTACTTAATATTTTTAGTCATGTAAGTCTATTACTCTATCAGTAACAGACTTATATGTATGAATAAAAATATTATAATTAGATTCAAATATCGGGAAACTTCACATATATTACACTAACTACCCGAACGGCAATGCACGGGTGTACATCTAAACAAACATATAAATAAAATTGGAGTGTCTGTTTGTAATATTGAAATAACCGTTTATTACTATATGCATATGAATATAAATACGGTACATAAACCAAAATAACATTTTTTTTAAATTTTTGTCTGTCTGTCTGTTTGTTCTGGCTAATCTTTGAAATGGCTGGACCGATTTTGACGGGACTTCTATTGCTACCTGCAGCTGATGTAATAAGGAGTAACTTAGGCTACTTTTATTTTTTTGAAAATTAAAGTTAAACTCCACGCGGACGAAGTCGCGGGTACAGCTAGTGTATACATTCTGAAAAGCTTCCTCTAGAATCACTCTATTGCTAAAATGCAATAACGTTACGTAGCTTAAAAGATATAAACAAACAAACAGCGGAAGCTACTTCATTGATATTACTATTAGTCGAATTTAAACATGAGTAAGTATTATTTATACTTGCATTAACTTTATAGGAAGAGAAAGTAGTCAGCACTAGTCTAGCTTGCACTATGCTAGTATTTTGGAGCGGTTACCAGTTATATAAGGACATATGGTTGTGATTAATAAGTATTTTTATAAAACTTGCAATACCAAACTAGTTGACAGGGAACTGATGGAATGTAACTATTTCCTGGCGACGTGAACAGCGCCAACAGGGATGGCAACCGAATCAAAAAAATCCGCGACATTTTGCCATTGGGACGAGGGCATTTTCATATTCGGAAATACGAGAATTTGGTCTTTTTACGAGAGCATTTTTTCTTTGTAAAATCTTGTACAAGATTTGGACTTACGAAAATTTGTCTAAATAGAATAGAATAGAATTTTTTTTAATCAAATTAACTTGTTCTTCTGTATTTTAATTGGCTGCCATAAATTTTGATTAATGATTTTGCCAAACGATCTACCATATGAAGAGTCGTAACTCATCTAGAGAGAAATTCAAAGAGGCAAATATTCTCACCGTTGCTTCTCAATTTATATATTCAAATATCCTTCATATATTCATAAAAACCTTGACTTATGTCTAAAAAACAGCAATATTCATAATATTAATACTAGATTTAAAGACAAACTTGCTGTCCCCAAGTATTGTTCAGAAAAGGTCAATAGATCTTTTATGGGAATAGGTATAAAAATTTACAATAAGATACTAAAGGATATACTGGAATGATCTTTAAATAAAATTTAAAACATCTGTTAAATCATATTCACTGAGCAAAGCGTATTACTCACTAAACGATTACTTGAGTGACGAGCGTGCATGGCAATAGTTGTTCATGCACGGGATTTTTATTTAATGTTAGACATAGACACCTATATAAATATACATTGTAAATAAACTAGCTTTTAAAAAAAAGTAAATCAATTGAGTTTCTTTCCAGTTCTTCTCAATCGGATCTATATAGGTACTGAATTGGACGGTAGGAAAAAAATATAATTATAAAGTAAAAATTTGACGTTCATAAGTGGCTAAAATGTCCGACAGGAATAAATGATTTTTGAATTTGGAATGTTATGGTTTGAGAGTAATTTTGTAGCTGTGGCTTTAGTTTGCTCGGTAAACTTTGACAATTTCGTTTGGGTATCAAATTAACTTAACTCAAACTCTTTGAATAGTCATAGTTATTTATAAACTACTGCAATATTTCCCCTGAAACTTATGTAATATGTTTGTGACTTAATCAGTATTAATTAATTAAATTACATTAATATAATATACATAATCTTCAAAACACATTAGATAATGTTTAAAATTTGCAAAAATGTAACATTAAATTCTCAAAATTGCTTAAAATTATGCATTAGTGAAATCATGTTTATCTTAAAGATCGACTTTCTAAGACCAATTATGGATGACAATAAATAAACTCGTTGATTTATCATGTGACTTTTAATGCTTCAAATAAATAATAAATTAAATATTAAATAATTATAATAAAATGTATTAACATATATTAAGTAAGTGCTAGACAAATGTCTGTTAAAATATCTAGAATATTTGTAATATAATCATAATAATCTCAGGACAATTCACACAACGCCATCTAGATCGAAGTTAAGCTAAAGCTTGTGTTATGGGTACTAAATAACTGATACAAATACATAGATATTTTTTTCGTAAATACATACATATTATGCATAGAAAACACCCAGACAACTTTTGCATTCATGAATATGATTGTTTGTATCGGACAAACAATCATATTCATGAATGCAAAAGTTTGTGCCGTGCGAGGAATCGAACCCGCGACCATCGGACGTAAAGCGGTGTGCTAGAGCACCATAACATTATAAAATCGAGTGATGATAAATAAATTATATCAAATTAAATATAAGTACTTATCAACTATTTATATAAATAACTTAATTATCATTTATTTTTACTTACATTTAATTTTCTCTACATTAATTTTAATTTACTAAATAATAATTACTGACCTCACAAGCAACTCTCGAGAAGAGAATTCGCAAAGCTTTTAAAATAATTTTATGCAATAAATATTTTTATAACGTAATAAACAATAATTTAATTAAAATGCAATATTTTAATACTTAGTTCGTTGTATCGCCTGGATCTTGAAATATGATTATATATTCAACTAGTTACTCGCCCTGGCTTCGACCAGGTGTACATGTATACATATAAACGTTCCTCTTGAATCACTCTATCTATTAAAAAAAAACGCTTCAAAATACGTTGCGTAGATTTAAAGATTTAAGCATACATAGGGACGGACAGACAGCGACAGCGACTTTGTTTTATAAAGACATACAATTCAGTTTTCTAACATAATTGTAACACTAATATAATTGTGTTCTAATAAAGACATATAACTGTATATATGTTCTTAATATGATCATATTATTTTAAAAGATGTTTAATTTATGAAGTTTTTGTAAGTGTTTCTTCAGATTAGGCCTATAATTTCTAGGTTTCCTTTTCCTGTACTTTCTGGAATACTGACTAGCATGTTTAGAAGGCATTTGGTATAAATCTAAGTGCTGAATGTTCAGATTATGGTGGCCCATTAGTTGTTTTAGCTGGGACTGACTTATCATATATACGGGTTCGATTACAGGTGATGTGTCCTCGAAATGACCATGAAAATGTGGTACACCATAAGATGCTGCTGGAATTTTAGGTACGTTATAGGAATATACACTATGAGGGTAAGAAGTGGGAGAGAAAGTTGGACGCGGTGAATATTTCCTATATTTACGGGAAAAACTGCCATCCAAATCTATATTATGGTTATAAGCAGCAGAAGGCGCATAATTATAATATGGTCTATTTACCACTGAGAACATTTGTGATTGTCTTGCATTAGGAAGATCATATCCATAGTCAAGTGAGCTAAAATCGTCAGTATAATCATCGAATTCTTCATCGTTATATGCAAAATCATAATTTTCTCTTTTACTAGGTCTACGGTAAGGTACATCTTCATAATCATCAGTAAAGTCTATAGCTTCACCTTTAGGAAAAGGTGGGGTAACTAGGAAGGTTTGAATTCTATTACGTCTACTGCTAATTAATGCTTGTGGTGTAGGTAAAGTACTATTAGGAGTAACTACTGTAGAAATGGACGGTTCTGTTGAAGTTTCAGTTTCGTTTCCTAAAAGGAAAGGAGTCTTATCTAAGATAGCTCTTTTATTCCGTGAGGAAGATTTTACCACATTAACAGAATTATCAGTTTCAAAATTTAAGGGACCAATACTTACATTATCTTCACCATAAGCAGAAACGCCTGTTCCATCTTCAGACAAATGTTGCACGCCTGTGTATTGCGCGTTATGATGAAGGTATCTTTCACTTTGGTCTCCCGAATTATCTTCATGTGGATTGTAATACTTTAACGGTTGAACATGTGCTAGAGCACGGGGCCTCTCTTCTTCATGACTTTTTAAATAATATTGTACTTTAGGTTCACTAGGTTTATTATATCCTGATGTAATAGTCTGACTAGCAACTTCGACTTTATAATAATTATTACTTTTCACAGTGGTAGTCTCAATATCTTGTGGCTGGGTAGCTAACACGGTTTGAATACCATATGCCTGCACTTTTGTATTTGCGTTTGGATTAGCAATATCATCCACTTCTTCTGTGATAGGGGTGTGATCTTTTGTTTCAGTTGTGTAAGCACTTGCATAAGTTGGTGGTACTTGTCCATAAACTGAATGTTCGTTATGTTGTGCGGGATAATCTTTTAAATAAAAGTATAGATCAATAGGAGTATCCAGTTCTTTAGGTGTTTGGTTTGTATTATGACCAGAACTGACTAAAGCATTTAATTCTGATAATTGATCTCGTGGATTCTTCTTAAGTATAGAATTTAGTGCAGAAATATCTTGAGCAGACTCGTAGTTTTGCATTTGAGTGTATTGTTTAGGATAAACGTATTGAGTTTTACTTGGAACAGCTTCTGTATATAAGTTATGACTTTCCTCATCTGATAAACCATTATTTCCATTAGGTTTTATCGTAACTCCTTGGTCGTAGGTCGGCGCTGGAGACACATAAACAGTCTTATATCTATTAGGCTGTAAGTATTGTTGATATTCAACTGAACCGTGAGATCTGTGGTTTCTATTTTTTTCGGTCTTCAAAGCAGCATCTTTATTTAATTTAACAATTTCTGGTATAACCTTCACGCCTCTTCTTAATGTCTCTTGTTTATTCTGGGATGATCTAGCCTTTAGTTTAGTATCAGTGTTACCCTGTTTTTTATCTCTTAGATTGGCCTGCTGTTTTTCTAGTTCTATTTGGTGACTTTCTTGTGATTCGTGGTATGCTCTCATGTAACTATCCATTGGTCGTGGTACATTGGCCCATCTTTGTAACTGAGCTCTGTGTTGTCTTACTTTCTCAGCATTGAACATGGCTTGTTGATTTTGTGCGTGCAATCTAGCGTTTTGTTGAGAATTACCTGCTAAAGGGTTGCCATATGGTAAATTTCCTGGAATGTTTGATTTGAAATCGTCTATTCTGTCAATTGGTTGTTCGTTGATGATCTCAAAGACTGGTCTGGCATTGGTTTTTGGTGGTTTTGCTGTAGTTTCAAGTACGAGAAGTAGCAGTGTTAGGAACTTTATGCTTAGTACAGGAGATTGCGCCATTATATCTGGAAATATAAAAAAGGTTTTTTTACAATTTTGAATTTTATCCCTTAGCCTGAGAGGTGATAATTTATTAACAGTGGTGATACGTGATTGAACATGATTGATGAAAACTGGTGGAATGTGGCGGAACAGCCGCAACCCGCGATCATTGGAAGTCAAGCGGTGTGCAATACCGCTATATCTCCGAGGCCACATACACATTATAAGAGCTATAATATATACCGAAGAGCTGGCAGCTACCTTGGACAATGAATTAGTTTAGTTATTCAAAGAGGGAACGCTGTCAATATCTAAATACAATAGTACTTTTAACTACTAAAAGAGGGCCATTCGCTCCATTTATGCTCCGGGTTCCAGGGAGTCATTGCGAGAGTGCTTTAAGGAATCAAAAATCCTCACCGTTACTTCTCAATACATTTATGAAAATATCATCTATGCCAGGAAGAATATAGACAGTTTCAAAAGAGTTAGTGATTGCACCAATAAAAGCTTACGTAACAATAACAAACTGATTTTACCTAAATGTCGTTTGGCTAAAGTTAGTAATTCGTTTTATGCCAATTGCGTAAGGTTTTACAATAAAATACCAGAGTCTGTTATAAATCTGACAGAAAAAAGATTTAAATGTCAAATAAAACAGTTCCTTTGAAAAAAAGCTTACTATAAAATTGAAGAATTCGTTAACGATAATAATGTTTTTATAGAAAAACTTTAAATCCATAGCACTGACAATATTATCTGATTACACTAATAATGAGTGCGTAGCGATTTCTATGTTGATGATCGCATGCCTCTTACTTGTTATACTGTAATTATTTATATAAAAAAACATCTATTAAAAAGAGCAACACACAAGTTTCTTGCTTATTCTTCTTGTGATGAATCTGCATTCCGAATGAGTGGTAGAATCAAAATATGACTATTCAAAAGTGTACAAGCACTTTTGAATATCAATCAACCCTTATTTTTAATAGTGATTTTAATTTATATTTCAATACAAAGTTTGCGGAGTCGGCTAGTATAATTATGTATATACGTATGTATATATAAAATTATATATATATTTATTAATTACTCTGTCATCTAGTGTCACAGAGATCACAGTGTACGGCAAGTGGTATGCCCACTACCGTTACCGTCCAGTTAGGCGCAATGTCCATTCGCACTTTCACCTGTTATCTAAGTACTCATGTGCGTCTATGTACATATGTACATATATATGTGTATATACATATATATGTATATACATATATATGTATGTAATAGTCAATAATTTTTATAGTAGTCCCTAAGATAAATGCAGTTGAAACAGTTAGCAGGTAACTTAGCAGGTGACGGTCTCGGTGGTCTAGTGGTTTACACCGCCTTACATCCGATGGTCGCGGGTTCGAGTCCTTGCACGGCACAAACATTTGTATTCATGAGTATGATTGTTTGTGTCTAGATGGGCGGTGTGTGAATTGGCCTGAGATTATTATTATATATTACGACTCATTATTTATATTATATTATGTATGTATTTACGAAAAAAAAACTATGTAGTTATATCATTTACATTTGTATGAGTGTTTTTTAAGCAGAGCTTGTGTTATAATAGAATATATAGCTTATAATAATATATGTAATATTATAATTATTTAAATTATTAACCGGGTCTTAACACGAATAATTTTATGGCAAATAAAGGTATTTACCTCTCTCGACGTTTCGACTAGGTTGCACTAGAAAATGTATATTAAACACGAAAGTTTAAAATTAATATTATATATTAATATTAATATATAATATTATATTATATTGCATTACATATATATATATATATATATATATATATACTTAGCCCATATTACAAGCTCTGCTTGACCACGTACCAACACCTATACAAACATTCATACTCATGAATACAAATGTTTGCACCGTGCGAGGAATTGAACCCGCAACCATCGGCCGTAAAGCGGTGTGCTAAACTGCTAAACAACCGAGGCTGTCGAATATTGTTCTCATTTAATTTAGTCACCAAAAATCCCACTTTGATAAAAAATAAATACACAAAATAAGTTATTTCTTAAATGTCAGGTAGTTCCAAAGACAATATTTATAGGGAAATAATATTTATCCTCAATAATAACACGGCACTAAGTGAATATATCAGCCAAATCAGTGTCCAATTTAATTGGACCATTCAAAGAAATTGAATGACTAAATAATGACCCAATCCGGAGAACAGATATGTGGTTTTTCTGAGAATTGTTAAAGCTTATAGCTTTAGTATGCTTAAAGCTTGTGTTATGGGCACTAGATAACTGATACAAACACATAGATTTGTTTTCGTAAATACATAGAAAACAGCCAGACCGATACAAACAATCGTACATTGAATATAAATGTTTGTACCGTGCGATTAATCGAACCCGCGACCATCGGGAGTAAAAGTGTTTTGTGTAAGCACAGCTTGTGTAATACAAGCTCTGCTTACCGTGGGACTAGATGGCGCTGTGTTGATTATTATGGGACACAGTTACCTAGAAATAATAATTGTATTTAATAATGTCTAGTAAGTCAAATTCAATATTGTGTACTAGGCACTGCTGTGTCTAAACTGTGTCACCCCACCTTACATTTTCCTATTGTTATTTACTATATAATATCAATATTTTTATGTACATATTGCCCCCTCCGATCGAACCCCGTCCAATTCAAACGGGGATCGAAATTTCGACGGCCTGAGCCAAGGTTCAAATTCAAAAATCATTTATTCATGTAGGACATTTTAGCCGCTTATGAACGTCAAGTTTTTACATTATAATTTTTTTCCCTACCGTCCAGTTCGGTATATAGATCCAATTGAGAAGAACTGGCAAGAAACTCAATTGAATTACTTTTTTTTAAATCCAGTTTATTTACAATGCATAGGTATTTATATAGGTGTCTATGTCTAACATTAAATGAAAATCCCGAACATGAAAACTATTGCCATGCATGCTCGTCATTCAAGTAATCGTTTAGTGAGTGGATTTGCTTAGTAAATATGGATTTAACAGATGTTTTAAATATTCTGATGTATTCATTGAATCTTCATAATTACGATGTCCTGAGCCGAGGTTCGAACCCCTAGAGATGCCCTCAGACTAAAGTCGTATCCGTCAGGCAGGAGTTGGCCTTCAGCCGCTCCATAAGTCCTTCCGCGGGTTGGAGTGCCATCTGCATTTGTACCCTAACGTCCGGTGAAGCTGTAAAGGCCAGCTGCGGCCAACAGCATTAGAGTAGTCCGAAAAAAAAATGTACATACATCGTCTCAACCAACAACATAGTATCATTTACCCGCAACAATTATCCAGCGGTATTTTTTTTTAAACCTGATATAAATACATATATTTGCAATAATGGACGGTAAATTAAATTAAAATTTTTGTAACTTGATGACCTCGGTGGTCTAGCGGTCTAGCACACCGCTTGACCGATGGTCGCGGGTTCAATTCCTCGCACGGCATAAACATTTGTATTCATGAGTATGATTGTTTGTATCGGTGTGGGTGTTTTCAATGTATAATATGAATGTATTTACAAAAAAAATATCTATGTATATGTATCAGTTGTCTAGTACCCATAACACAAGCTTTAGCTAGCTTAACTTGGGTATAGATGGCGCTGTGTGAATTGTCCTGAGATTATTATTATTTTGCCGACTGCACACAAAAAGATCAATGTCATTCATTATGTAACTCACGTGCTCTACTAACTTGAGAACGTTGCGTTTCCGTGTAGGTAATAACCGACTACGAAATTAAAGAGGGTATTGTATTTACAACTGTTAAAGCTTTGGTGCTTGTAGTATTTTTAACGGACTCGGTGGTCTAGTGGTTTAGCACAACGCTTTACTTCCGATGGTCGCGGGTTCGATTCCTCGCATACTAACATTTGTATTCATGAGTCATACTCATATTGTTTGTATTGGTGTGATAAAAGGTTGTACGGAAGTATCGTTATAACTTATTTACTGAGCAAAGCCTATTACTCACTAAACGATTACTTGAATGACGAGCGTGCATGGCAATAGTTGTTCATGCACGGGATTTTCATTTAATGTTAGGCATAGACACCTATATAAAAATATTTTGTAAATAAATTGGCTTTAAAAAAAAAAAAGTATTTCAATTGAGTTTCTTGCCAGTTCTTCTCAATTGGATTCATATATATGGAACTGGACGGCAAGGAAAAAAATATAATATAATATAAAAAAAATTACGTTCATAAGCGGCTAAAATGTCATACGTGATGAATAAACTATTTTTGAATTTGTATTTGAAAATTTAGGCTGTTACATTAAATATAAAAAAAATGTCATTCACAGTTTGTAAAAATTTTACCCTTTAGGGGGTAAAATAAAATAGGGAATAAAGTCATTTTTGAAGCTAGAACGATGAAACTCTTCAAAAAGACTTTTTTGGGTTAGACTATTAAATATTTTTTCTTTATTCTGTCAAGTACTTAATATCTATACATATAAATAAAATTGGAGTGTCTGTTAGTAATATTGAAATAACCGTTTTTTACTACATGCATATGAATATAAATACGGTACATACACCAAAACAACAAATTTTACAATTTTTGTCTGTCTGTCTGTCTGTATGTTCTGGCTAATCTCTGAAATGGCTGGACCAATTTTGACGAGACTTTTTGGCAGGCAGCTGATGTAATAAGGAGTAACTTAGGCTTACTTTCATTTTAGAAAAATAAAGTTAAACTCCACGCGGAAGAAGTCACGGGAACAGCTAGTATTTAAGTAAGAGAGGAAATAACCTGTACATATTATGTTATCTGTGCCTGTACGGAAGCGTCAGTTCGCGCCAAATCCGAATGGCCGCGTTCCGTTACATCACAATTATGTAACTTGTCATCCGCGCATTTAGTGGTAACGGAACGTGCCTACCATTGAATTATATGATAATATGTTTTTATGTAGGCTAATGTGTTAACGTTATGCATTTTATGAGGCAAA